CCATTGTGTTCATGTACTTGCATTGTTAGTCAATTTTTTCTTATGTCATTTGAACATTTTTCTTGTATGATTACTCAATACACTCCATTTTAGATCTTAATTGATAGGACGGGAATATAGCTCAGTATTCAAATATGATACCAAAATATATCGTTTTAGTTGATAGGACGGGGATCTTAATTGCTAACTGTTGCTTGTTTTAGTTGCTTCTAGTATTCAAGTAAGATTCCAAAATATATCATTAGTATTTCCCTAGTGGGTGATATATTTTATTAAATTGTGCTGCTCATTTGGTAAGATGTGGTGGCACAAAAGGTGCTTTCTATTCAGCATGTCTGCAAACTCTGTGTCTGATCACGCCTCTAGTTCATATTGAATATATCACAGTTCATCTGTAATTTTGTTATTTGCAGGTTTCCGCCAACCTGAAGGAGAAAATTTCTGCTGCCACAGAGGAAGTGAAATTGGTTTTATAAATTGTGTGCATAACCACTGAGTACTACCACAATCCGCAAATGATGAAATACTAGAAACGTTTAATTTGTTATGTGATTCAGGTCAAAGAGACATTGGGGGTTGGGAAGCAAGAATACTCTGAATTTTCAGCTAAAGATGGCACGGATGTGAAAAATGGTAGCAAGGCCACTTCTGGAGAGGAAAATCAGCAGAAACCGGGGTCTAGTGATACTGCAAATACATTATTTGGCAAGTTTAAGTCTAGTGTTTCTTCTGTTTCTCCTAAGGTTTCTGTGGCCTTCCAAAAATTGAAGGAAGTGAAGCCCATTGACCTGGCGAAGAAGGGGTATGACATTGTACAGGATGAGTTGAGTAGTAATCCAATTAAGAGAAAGCGGATTGAATATGGAGCTTCTTCATCAACTTCCTCATCAACAGTAGAAAGAAGTACAAGCACAGATGTTGCTGTTGTACCTTCAAAGCAGTCAAAATGGAGTAAGAAGTGGGAAGCATTCAAAGAGAAGGTAAATTATTAGTCTTACAAACTCTATATGGATATATTTGAATTTTTTTTTTAATTTTTAATTTCCTTTTTTTTTTCAGGCCATAATGTTTTTCTTTCCTCCAGATGCAGGTTCATCCTATTTTCAAGCGCATGAGTGGGTTAAGTGAACCTGTGGTGGCAAAGAGTCAGGAGGTACAAGATAATATTTTTTTTTTAAAAAAATTCAGTTCTACTTCTATTGCCTAATTATTCTGTCATTTGGTCAAGTTTTCTCATCCAGACCGGCATACTCTATAATGCAGGGCTCTGAGCATCAAGTTTTAGTCTTAATAAGCTTATCTTTGAGAATGGATGGATAAGATCAGACCTCAGGTGTTGTTTAGATCATGTTGAATGCCTTTAGATGATAAACGTGGCTGAAATATGTTGAATACACTAAAGAGTCCAATTGAATGAATTGTTTAGAATTATTTTGTAGATATATCTCATCTTATGTTTTAAATTTTTAATTGAATAAGAGGAATGTGGTTGAGCTGTATTGAACTTAATAATTGAATGATGCAGTCGATGGAGTTTGTTTATTGCAAAAAAAAAAACAAAAAACAGGTCCATAAAAGGCTGGAATTACGTTAGGAAAATATTACAATACTTATAGTTTTCAAGGGCTCCAATCTGTCTGATGGCTATTGTACTTGACCCTGATTTTGAGAGGCATTATGTGCAATCTTTTATTCATTTTTGGGAATATTTTAACCTTTCAAAGTTGATGTTTTCTCTGTAAGTAACATTTAATTGTGCAACTACGATAAATTTACCTTTTTATGGTTCTTATGATTGAAAATACATACAATTTAACAATTTTCCGTATTGAAATTTGTTGCAATTGCTGTCTGCGTGGAAATTTGCAGTTTGCAGAAGACATCCGGGACAGATGGGATACTACTGATAATCCGGTTGTTCATAAAATTCAGGAGTATGCTTCTCAAGTTTTATCCATCCTTCTGTTCTGCATATGATTTATTTATAAAAGATTGACACTCTTGAGTAATTATTTGACCAACCTCTCTTTTACAGTCTTAGCGAAACTGTCTTTGGAGAAACATCTACTGCACTATCATTTAAGGAAATACATCGCCGCGATCCGTATGCTGATCATATACTGGTTTCTGTTTTAGAATGTTTCGTCTCTTTTCAACAAACTATATTAACTACTTGACGTGAAATTTGCACACTTCAGGTCTTTCTCTCTGCCAGAATTTGTGGCTGAGGTTGAGGAAGTAATCAAACCGGTTCTTAATGCTTACTTCAAGGTTAGTTATTAGTAAGATGGCCATGAAGATTTCTTATATTCTTTTAATGTTTTAGTTGCCATGTCAGAAATAGGGAGGGATGACCATTTGTCAATGGAGTTTCTGAAATCTATCTGATAAGAGATGTTTCACGGACTACAGGGAGATGCTGAAGTTCTGAAGAAATATTGTAGAAACGAAGTGATTGAACAGTGTAAAGCAGAACACAAGGCTTTTGAAAGCCAGGGTATCTTCTTTGACAACAAGGTGAGAGAGAACTGAGTTATTAATTTATGTTTTGGTGCTACAAAGGTTCAGTTGTTCTTGCCATGTATGTTGATAAGTTGGAGAGAATTTCACATTCTTTCAAGCATGTGAAATGAAGTTACAAGGGAAAAAAAAATGCTCAAAAGCGACACAAAAAAAAAGTTGGGTGCCAGAGGTTGAGAGGAATAAAAACATTAATCACACATACAGCACTGGTAATATTTGACTATATAAGAAGGTAGAAGATCTAATTATTCTCTTAATGGCAGATGATAAATTGAATTGGTATGGGTACTCATGCATATTCGCTCTATAATTACTTTTGTTGTTTAAATGATATGGTGAACTAGTTGATATTGGAATGGAAGAAATAATAGGAAATATTCCTTAAATAGCAATGCGCCAATTTTATGTTAATTGATGTGTTACATAAATCTGGGTATGCCCAAATATGTTATAGGAACTTAAGAGTCCGTTTGGATGGATGCGGATTTCAAATCAAGGGATTTGTGGTTGAATTTTATAAGAATATTGAAGAGTAAGTTATTAGAGGTGTTAGTGGATAGAACAATAAGTCTATAGGAGAAGACATGTCGAGAAAGAAGCTTTGTACTTTAGTAGGATCCTTGTAGCTAGAAGGAGAATCTTTATACTGATTTCAATTAACTACTTTTTTGCTCTATAATTACTTTTGTTGTTTAAATGATATGGTGAAGTAGTTGATATTGGAGTGGAAGAAATAATAGGAAATATTCCTTAAATAGCAATGCGCCAATTTTTTGTTAATTGATGTGTTACATAAATCTGGGTATGCTCAAATATGTTACAGGAACTTAAGAGTCCGTTTGGATGGATGCGGATTTCAAATCAAGGGATTTGTGGGGAACTTAAGAGTCCGTTTGGATGGATGCGGATTTCAAATCAAGGGATTTGTGGTTGAATTTTATAAGAATATTGAAGAGTAAGTTATTAGAGGTGGATAGAACAATAAGTCTATAGGAGAAGACATGTCGAGAAAGAAGCTTTATACTTTAGTAGGATCCTTGTAGCAAGAAGGAGAATCTTTATACTGATTTCAATTAACTACTTTTCTGTAGTTAGGTTAATTTGTTTGGTTGTTTTGGTCAAATTCATTTTCCACTTTATACATATTAGCAGGTGTTGATATGACTTGTTGGTTAGATATATGTTGTAAAAAATTGTTTCAGACAATCTTCTTTTTGAGCAAGTACTCTCTCTCTTTTTTTCTTTTTTTTTTCATGCACTTGGATTAACATATTTGAGAGTAATCGTAAAGATGATTAGTTATAGGGTAAGCACCAACTCAAAATATCAATTTGTGAAGTTTGATTACTTATTCATATCTTCTCATTGAAGCAGATTCTACACATATCTGATGTGGAAATAAGAGAAACCAAAATGATGGGGGACACACCCATCATCATTGTGGTGGTAGGCACCTTATTGGCACAACTAATTAACATTTTTTTGGGGGGAATTAAAGTCTGATATTGATGGCCCCTGTTTCTTATTGTCACAGTTCCAAACACAGCAGGTCTATTGTGTGCGTGATAGAAATGGTTCAGTAACAGAAGGGGGCAAGGTAAAAATGCCAAATCCTCACTTTCTTGCAGTTTAAAATTATGGTATGGTGGTAGTTACTATTTTCATTTATCATTCATGTTAAATTTACTGCTGCCAATTTTTACTTATTTAATTTTTGGGTCTGAAAAATAGCACAGCTTAATTACAGGTCTGAATTCCTTAAACCTTATTGAGTAGCAGGAGTTAACATTTTTTTGTTTTACTGATCAAAGCAGTCATCTTGGCCAATACTTATTTTATGTTTTACCTTCAGTTTCCGAAGCAAAGTGATTTTGATGTCAGTTTTGTGATACTTATTGCTTAATCAGGATACAATCCACACTGTATACTACGCATGGGCTATGCAACAATTTGATGTAGAAGAACCAGGCGAAGGTGCTCTCTTCCCAATATGGAGGCTGAGAGAATTGCAACAACTTGGCGTCAAGGCCCTTATTTAATTTTGTGTTTTTGTCTTCTAATTGATGGATGCTCTGGGTTTTTCTCATTGCCATGGAAAATATTTACATATCATTTTTTTTTCCCAAATCAAACGAAGTTGGGTATTACACCGAACTTTGATTTTTTTTATTTTTATTTTTTTTATAGAATTATGTAGGTATTATATAAAATTTTTGAGAGGTTTTCATAAATTGATACCATTAGCATTGTTGAAACAAATAGATTTATCAACCAAAAAAAAAGAAAAAAAAAGAAAAAAAGCTGTTTGAAAAAATAATTAATTCAATACTTGTCATACTTTTATTAATTTAAAAAGAAACATCAGCAATTATCTATTAAACAGTAACAGCTAAGACACCAATGCATGGATGTAAGCATTTCAGTGTGATCTTTCTCCTTCACTCCCCACGGGAACACACACAAGCAAGCGCACACAATAAAATGGAAAAAGGAACAATTAAAGAAAATATAAGATGTTTTACATGCATAAGAAAGTATGGTAGAGAATTGAAGCCAAACAATCACACGCAACCAGGGAACAACCATCCAGCTTCCTGTACAAATAAACAGCAAAAGAAGTTCTGCAGGTCCACAAAGGATTTAATTGGCAATATTATTCATTTGTCTAAATTTAGTGAAGAAAGTCTTTCATTGGATCATCATGATGGGTTCTCTTCATCCTGTATGCCTCCATGTCCTCCGCAGTAACCTGCAAAATAGCGATATATATTGGTGAGTGATACTGCAAGAAAAACAATCCATTTTGTCCGAATCAATGAGTGAGCCTGTTTGGTGCCTGTGCTTTCATTTTCTGGACGAAAAAAACAAAAAATTTTACAGATGTTTGCAAAAACTATTTAAGGGTTTATTTTATTTTATTTTTAAAACCAAAAAACAACCCACTATTTAGGAAACACCAAAAAGTTATTTTTGCACAAAAATGAAAACAATATGAAATGATGGGCATTTTCAAACTTTTCATTTACTTTCTTATATCATGTAAAATTATTATAATAGTGCTTATTTAAAATAGGATGTAATGTAACAATACTATAAAATAAGCATACCTCGTCATTCCATTTCACATTGTATTTCCGCTTTCTTTCATCTTTCTCTTCTCTCTTTCTTGCATCCTCCTGTCCAGACCAAATATTACAAAAGTTTCAACACATCAGTGGCTAGAAGTACATTTATGTATATAAAAACACTCAAAACTGTTACTACAATTCTGATTAGAAATACATCTCAGAAGCTTATACATATCCTGCGTCAAAATATATATAATGAAAACTCAATTAAGGTTGCGTTTGGTAGAGTTTTGTAATTATGATTTGAGAGTATGAGTTGTATTTTGAGTTTGTGAGGTTTGAAATTACGATTTAAGTGTGAAAAATTTGTTTGATAAAGAGTTTTGAAAATAGTTTTAAAAAGAATTTTGAATTGAGTGGGGAATCGTTGATGTCACATTTGATATTCGATACAAAAATTTACAACTCATAACCAAACATACAACTCAAAATTATTTTAAAACACATAAATTTTTTTAAAAAAATTAGAAAATATTTTTTTCAAATATATAAAAATTAACATAACAATTGCAAAAAAAAAAAATCACTGTTCCGGTCAACCGGCCGGACGACCGGTTAGGCCAAATTTCGAAAAAAAAATTGAAAATCGCGCTCTGTTTGACAGAGTTTTCTGCCAAGTTGTGAAAAATTAATTCCACGACTCTATCCAAACACCGCACGAGAACTCAAGCATGGAAAACGATTTTGAGAATCGTTCCAAACAGAGCCTAAGTTTCTTATATTGTCTAGATGGAAAAAATTCGGCAATGCTTTCCCAATGTTCAAGTAGTTGAGAAAAATCAGAAACCCAAATAGTTAGAAGGCAAGAATACATAAAAAACCAGACAGAAATTTTACCTTCTTTAGTGCTTCACCTAGTAATTTCTGGTCCAGAACAAGATCATCAGGAATCTCAGTTCCCCAAGTGGCAAGATTCTTCTCCTCAGTTGGTGCAGGCATCTCTATTTTCACAATCAAAATGCATCAGACTAGAGAAAAATGCTAATAGAATTAAAGTAAAAGGAACTACATAGTGGACAATCTTCTTGCTCGTGAAATATATAGATCAGAGACCATCAACTTTCAGCAGAAGACATTTGCAACTTCAAAAGATAATACAACAGATAAATGTGTGCGCGCTAGCGTGCATGCAAACACAGAGAGAGAGAGAGAGAGAGAGAGAGAGGGGGAACTAGCCTTCTGTAGCCTCTTTACGAGCAATATTAGCCTTCATTAGGTCTGCTGCAGCTTCAGCTGCTTCAATACCAGCAGCACCAGTACAATAGCTGTTTCGAATAAACTGTTTACAACACTTGTAACCCCACTGATGATCCTTCCACCATGAACCCCAGACGCTTGTATGGTTGTTGATGTAAACATCTTCTTCATACTTGCTTTTGGGAAGGGCTTGCTCCTGAAAATAGTGTAAATCAAAGCATGTTAACTACGCTAGTAATTCTACAAATCAAAAGAACAACATATGGGGGGGTTCATGGTCGAAGTCACGTGGTTGTGTGATGTTACTTCCAATTGTTTCAATATGTTTCAGAGATAAGCAAGCTTATCAGTCCATCAAAGCTATATAGGAGGAGATAGCGTATGGAGTCAATTATTTACGTTAACTGCAACTCGACATACACGTTTCTTTAAAACAAGTTCGCTTTTTAATTTCATGATTTATTGGTGGTTTTCAATCATGTATTTGTTCTGTTATTCATAATGCAAATATGCCAATGCAAAACCATAGTTTTTTTTCTTTTTTTAAAAGATTTTATAATGGATAATAAGACTCAATCCATGTACCCACAAGACCACAAAAATTTTCACATGCAAAATGATTAGGTAAACACTAAATGCACTCCCCCCAAAAAACCAAGTGGGTAATTTGGAGGCCCCAATAGCATGCTCCAATAATTTATGACATCCCTACAAAAAAAAGTTATTGAAAACTATCAAGTTCGGATAAAAACAACTAGCATAGATTGTTATTCAAATTTACCTGGCCTTTAATAATCCTACCGGCGCGATCATATTCCACTTCTCTCTCACTTTGTCCAAGTAAAAGCTCTCTTGGAAGTTGTTCCTCAGAAGCTGCATTCCCATATTTCTCCATAATGGTCTCCTTCACTTGAGATTTCAATTTCTCCTTATTGACCTTATAATTCTTGTAAAGCAATTCAGCTTGGGACGGAGCAGCTTGCATGTGAACATCGTGCCCCTTCTCAAATGCTTCCCAAGCATGGATGTTGAGCTGCTTGAACTCCAAAGCTTGACCACTAATTCTGTTTTGATTATCTCCCTATTAATGAAAAGAAACAAACAATTATGTATGTGATCAGTACATAAAACAACACCATGCAATTGAGCGACAAACCCATTGATACAAATGTTTTACACTTTTGAGTATACTCACAACATAAAATTTCTCGTTTGGATCCATATCTGGAAGAGGATCCTCTCGCATGGAACGGGTTTTGGGATCATAATGGGCAGAGTTTACATCAAGATTAAGAAGGTATTTTGCGGTGTCCTCCCGAATACGCAGGTTCCTGACAGGAAAAAGAAAAAAAAAAAAAATTTTGGTAAGTGAAATGATATCCAACAAAAAATTGAGAAAACTATTTCCACATCACAAAACCAACAAGCATGCATACAGGGTATACCTGTCACCTGTTCAACAATGGAACCCCTCAACCCCAAAAACAAAACAAAAAACAAAAAAACTAGGCTGTATGATAGTTTTTAATAAATGGCAGGAACAAGAAAACAATAAAAGGAGGAAGAAAAAAATAAAGACAAGAAAGAACAATCACCTGACAGTTCCTGTACTCCCACCACCTGTTGTTCGCACACGCTTCTCAACCTTTGCAAAGTCCATCTGTTTGCTCTCATCAACCTTGGCTTCATCTACCTTCAGAGCATCTTCATTGTCTTCATCATCACTAACCTCATCCTCTCCATTTTGGTTACCATTTTTCTCTTCTAATTTCTTAAGTTGTTGCTCCTTCAAGTATTTCTTTCTAGCTTCATCCCTCGCTTCATATCTCTCAATGACATAGGCATAGCTAGCTGCATCATAGCCATTCCAACGGTCCCGTTTGCCATCATAATCCAACTCAAAGGTCTCTATTTTCTCGTCTGGCGCAATGTTTTTGTCTGTCCACTTTGCTCCCACTTTCCGTGGCCTGTCCATGCATGACTTTGAGTCATGTGTCATGGCTCCACAGCTGCAGCAGAGCGTAACAAGAGCTCATATCAATTCAACTGTAGTTCCCCACATTCATATTAAAAAATACACATAACAAATATGTGGTATAGCTTTCCCAAAATTATAGTCAAAGTAAGTTATTGATACCTGGAAAAAAAAAAAAAAAAATGCACAACATAGAGTTCAAGCATTCAAATTTGCCATCTCCAGCAATGATATGTCATAAATTCAAAAAGATTATGATAAGCTAATTAAATGGTATTGAAAATAAAGAGAAGAGCTCTCTTGAAGATCTCCCCCAAAGGTACCAACTATGTGATGATGGAATTAACTAAACTATACAAGACCTAATGAGCATTAACAGCAAGCTATGTCTCGTGTAATGAATAACTCTCCTGCTAGCAAGGGCATCTCCAGACAATCGTCCCTATAGTGTGCAAAGCACATACTATAATGAAGTTAATTCCTCAACACAAGATATCAAAAGAATAATTAAATAAATCCAATTATGTACAGTAAGTAGGGCTGCAAATGAACCGAGCTGTTCATGAACAAGCTCGGCTTGGCTCGTTAAGGGCTTGGATCGGCTCAGCTCGTTAGTAAACGAGCTAAGCTTGAGCTCGCATAAGCTCGGCTTGTTTACCTTTATTTAAATTATATAATAAATATATTATTTATATATTAAATAATATATAAATATATATAAAAATAATAATATAAATACATTTTTTATATATTAAATAATATAAATAATATAAAAAAAATTATCGAGCCAAACTGAGCCGAACTCGAGTTTCATTAAAATTAACGAGCCGAACAGCCGAGCCGAGCTCGAGCCCAGTTCCTTATCGAGCCGAGCTCAAGCTCAATAAACGAGCTCGATAAGTAAACGAGCCGAGCTCGAGCTCGAGCCTAGCAAAGCTCGGCTCAGTTCGTTTGCAGCCCTAACAGTAAGCAATCTAACAATCATCATAAAATTGGCATGTTAAAATTTTTAATATATTAAACAAAATGATATACTAAGACTTAACCACAACCAACCCCAGCCACACTATCCCCATCCCACCAATACCCCTTCTTCCCTCCCCAAGGCAGAGTTCTCATCCATAAGGCAGGGTAGAACCTTCATAGTTTAAACCTTGGTACTGAAACAAGCGGATTACATGAAACTCTTCTACAACTAAAATCTATATTGATTACATCTTCATGTCAATGACCAGCCATTGCGAAAATTAATGAAAAGAATAGAGAACACATGCATGCACCATACATAGAAAGACAGAGAAAGAAAGCAACTTTCACTTACTTTTCACAAGCACCCTTCCTAAACTTTTCAGCCTGATAAATTTTTGCACCTCTGTCATACCATGATTTGGTATAATTTGGATCTGACTTCCATTTCCTTTGATGTTTTAAACTCTAACAAGTAGAAAGATAACAAAAGTTTTCAATCTCCAGCCTTCGCAAAACAGTAAATGTAACAAAACAAGATTACTTAAGAAAACATACCGGTCTCTCTGCATTAAGATACCAAGGTGCAGATGACATATACTGAGGAATATGAGGGTTAATTTCTTTCCCATCCTCATCAACCTCAGCTGGAGCAAGACCTGCTTTACGTGCTTCTTCCAATTCCAGCTGCTTTCTATGGTCCTCCCTAGATTTGAATGCCACTGCAAGTATCACAATGCCAAATCAAGAATCATACAGTGAATCGAAATCCTAAGTTTGGAAATCGTGAATCGAATCGAATCGAATCAAATCGAGAATTGTTAAGATTCAATACAAACTACAGAGAATGATGCCAAACAATCGTATATATGAAAAATAATGAAATATATTAATTTTGATATACATTATAAAATAGTTCATATATAAGCACATGATTAGATTGCCTAATTGGGAAGACATTGCCTTCATAGTAAAATATGTAGGTCCAAATCCCACAAACTGGACCCAGGAGGAATCCTATATAGAGTCTCCTATATAGAGTATAATAAAAAGAAGAATGAAATAAAATTCTTTATTTTAAAACCTAAAACACTTTATAAGTGTGTACACTTATAGTTCAGAAAAGTTTAGAAGCAATAGTTGTGGAACCATTGCCAGGCAGGTACTAAGTTTGCAAAACTTGGAAAGCCCAGTTCAACGAGATATCTTGAAGATGCACATGTCAATGTCAATATTTACAAAAGAAGAAACAAATAGTGGAAAACCTGTATTTCAGAAAGAGAAATAAAAAAATAAATAAACAAACAAAAGAACCAAGTTTTTCATACATTGAGAATCAGTAATTGTACTGAAAAGACTCAAAAAATGTGTGTGCTTAAACTACCGAAGACTTGAGTGGTTTGTTTCCAATAAAATCCCATGCCATTAATTCCAATTAACAAGACATTTCCTCCCAACAGTGTGGGTTTTATGTGATATTTTGCCTAGATTTGTTTTTTTTTTTTTTTTTTTAACCTATTTTAAAGATTAATTGAAATTAAAAACCTAAGGCCACGTTTAAATTAGCAGAAAGAGCTGACTTTTGAGAAACTAATCAGATCACGGGTTAGTCAAAACAAATACCCAAAAACATAGATAATCATGAGAAGGAACCCAAAAAAACTGCAGAATTGAACAATTCCAATAGATTAAATGATGAAATCGAAAATTCATGTAATCATAAATACCAAAGAAATCAATCAATTTGAAAGGCAAGAATCGACTTATATGTATATATCAAAAGGAAAAAAAGAAAAAGTTGGAGAAAACGTACCTGAAGCAGTCGCCATGGTTTACCTTGAAGTTGCGAAACCCTAGATAGAGGGAAAGGCGAGTAATTTGGGCAGTCACAGAGGGAAGAGAAACCCTAGAGAGAGAAAGACGAACAGAGAGAGAGAGAGAGAGAGAGATGGGGTTGTAAGGATGAGTTTTTGTAACGGATAACAGAGAACAATAAAATATATGTGGGCCGTGTCCGGATCGAATAATTAAAGTCCGATCCAAATCACAGGCCTTATGGCGGTGCCATAGTCTGTTTAATAATCACATAAGACGACGTCGTTAGTAAATGTCAAGGATGTGGGCTGGGCTAGTAGTTTTAATGGGCTTGGTTGTAGCCGACAACACTTTGCTAGCCCAACTATTCTTCACTTCCCTTGTTCTTTTTGGGCCAACCCAACTATCTCTCTCTCAAAAAAAAAAAGAAACTTTTCTTCTTTATTATTTTTTGCTTAAACAATGTCTCAAATTCGGCTTCAAAAATGTTGATTTTTGAGTTTATTTTTAGCCTTTTGAGCTGAAAAGGCAAATAAATAAATAAAACTTGAATTTTTTTTTTTCATTTCTTTGCAAACAACAAATTTTCCTAAAATACAAACAATATTTAATTTATTTTAACACCAAATATGGTGTTGCAAATGTCGTAAAGACAACCCCAAAAATTAGAAGGAAAAAAAAAAAAACTATATTCACTCCATGAATCATCTTTACATAAATTGTTGTGGGAAATAAAGGAGAATAGATGGCCAACGACGGACAGAAAGAGAAGGTTGGGAATGACACTCCTACCGAGAGTGGGAAACATATTGACCTTGACGTCGAAGAAGACAACTACAACAAAGAGACTCGTGATAAGAATCACGGAGGAAAGGACGTTGGCTAGGAGGGCGACGTACCGAAGAAATCGGACCGGAGCGGGTATTATAACGAGGACGACCTCCAGATATGGAAAGATAAATGCTTGTGGAGGGACGACGAGATAAAGGGAATGGCAGACAAATTGGCGGACTTGCAAACGGTCGTCAATTTCATGATGCAGAACAACGTCATGCAGCCACTGTTCCCTTCACAAGACACGCTGATTCCAGCAGCCAAGAAAGATGTCCAGGCAGGAGGGCAGAAGACAACTCCTACGACTCCTTAGCACGATAGGACCAAGGAACATTCTCACCGGCCTTCAAGGGAGGTCGGACGAGAAGAATCAAGAAGGGGAGATTCACATAGGACACATCGCACCAAGGAAGCTGACTCCAAAAAACATCAGCATGTTTAGGGGAAGGACCTCTATTTCGACGCAACCAATGGAGGGAGGTCCAAAAGGACTCGCAATGACACAGGAAGTAGTGCACCAAAGAGGCTGAAATCCGGAGATAGCCGAGCTTCTGGACGAACCAAAGAGGATCTGAGGGATTACCTCCAGAGAAAGCAACAAGATGCCGAGGTGACCTCACCTGTCAAGCTGAGGACACCGTTCTCGGTAGAATTGGACAAATTTGAAGCCCCGAAGAGATTCAGTATACCGAGGTTCCAGATATATGATGGGAAGTCAGACCCCAACTTTCACGTCGAATTATACCTAAACGCGATGGCGTTATACACTGGAAACGAGCCGTTGCTCTGCAAAGTGTTCCCCTCATTATTCGGAGAAATTGCATCGGATTGGTTTCATAAGCTGCCGAAAGGAATTGTGAAAACTTGGGAAGGCCTGGCCGAGATGTTTGTGGCCAGGTTCGTAACAAACAAGTTACAGCCGTTGAGGGTGGACGCCCTAATGGCCCTGAAGATCGGCGAGGATAAAAGCCTTAGGGCCTATGCCAAAAGGTATTATGAGGTATTCAACCGAATACCAAGATGCAACCAAGAGGTGGCGGTCATGTCGTTTAAAAGCGGCTTGAAGGATGACTGCCTGCTTCGAAAATCACTGGCAAAAACATTGCCGAAAAGCATGGAGGAGCTGATGGCCAGGATAGAAAAGTATGCCAAAGCCGAGGAGGACACGCTAGAGACAAAGGCGTCCAAACCAAAGAAGAGAAATGGTTCGCCGCAGCGAAGTCGAGATAACACTGGATATAAGAAGACAAGAGCTCAGCCCAAGTAAGCCGATCCCAGATTCCAGATCTCGGATTCGAGATCCCAGAAGACAAGATCTCAGCCTAAGACGATTAAGTCCGAGAAGAGAAGAGCTTGCCGAGATTATGTTTAACACTTGTTGAAACTTGAAAAAAGTTTACAAGTTGAAGTTAAACCGAGATTATGTTTAACACTTGTTGAAACTTGAGAAAAGTTTACAAGTTGAAGTTAAACCGGGGTCATGATTAAAGGAAGGAATGATATAGGTTCCATTACCTCAGGATGCCGAGGTAATAGAACCTAGGGGGCAGTTGTGGGGACATATTTTCTGAGTACCAACACGTGGCCAAGGTGACGCCGACGTGTTAGCCGAGGTGCCACGTGTCCTGGTTGTTATGTCGAGGTCATCTCGGATAGGCCGAGGTTACCTCTAAAGATATCGGAATCCGAGATAAGCGGATGAGGGGCAAGAGTACTAGAATGAGAGAAGACTTCAGTTTGTATTAAGATAAAACTCTTAGAGAGTTTATCCTAATCTTACTGGGAGTCTAAGATTAGCAGTAATCCTAAGTCAATAGAAGTTAGGCTTCTATTGGGACTAGATTTATGTTGGCTATAAAAGAGAGGCACCCCCATGGGTCCAAAGTATGCTTTTGATACTCAAGCTTATGAGTTTAGCACTTGATTTATCTTTGAGAGATATACTGACTTAATCGTCAGAGTGCCCTCGGGTGGACGAACCACCACCGGAATCTTCTCTTTCTGTTGCAGGTCAGCCAGGTGTCATCTATTCTTCCGGTGCTCTCCAGCTGATTACTAAGTGGGCAGTGTGGTCAGAAAATCACTCACACAAATAAAACTTGATTTTTTTTTTTTCATTTCTTTGCAAACAACAAATTTTCCTAAAATACAAACAATATTTAATTTATTTTAACACCAAATATGGTGTTGCAAATGTCGTAAAGACAACCCCAAAAATTAGAAGGAAAAAAAAAAAAAAAACTATATTCACTCCATGAATCATCTTTCCATAAATTGTTGTGCTAGAACCCTAGCAACTCACTCACCTTTAAAGATATGTAATGTTATTGGACATAAAAAAAAAAAAATTTAAACAAAAAAAATCATATATATATTTATATTGGAGGCCTTTGCTCTTGGGTTACATGTTTCACATGAATCATGGAAAAAAAATTGCAATTTATTTGATATGATTGTTAAGAATTAAGAGATAATTATATTGGTGGGATGAAAAAGATAGCAAAAAAAAAAAAATTGACATAGTCATCGTTCAAATGAATCTAGACACCCATAATTTTTTCAGAGAGTACATTCATCATTATTGCAAAGTTTGGTTGATTGAATTAATGAATAACAAGTTGGTTTTTAAAACAGTACAATCATAAGTGAAAAAATAAAAATAAAAAATTATTTCTCCACGATTGGCCTAAATGATAAAAATTATTTGAGTGATGCAACCAAATGATCAATTCGCCCAATCCAAGTGATGACATGGTAGTGACATCATGTCTATATATTTTAACCACTATTCTTACATAATTATAATTATTATATAGAAGCCAAAAAGTCAAAAAGCCCTTCCCAAACCAGGCTAAAATAGCCCAGGCTAAAATAGCCAAAAAGCCAAAAAGCCAAAAAGCCAACCTACTTCCCAAACGGAGGCTATATGAATTTAAAACGTGCTGCTTTTTAATACCTCATAATTAAATGCAAAGAACATAGACAAATCACTTTTATATGGGACTCTCTCTGTTAATTTTTTTTTCTAATCTGTTGCTCTCATCATACCTACTTTTTTTTTATAAAATAAAATAAAATTATAAAGGTGTCTGAAGCTTTTTTTTTTTTTTAATTTTTTATGAAGGGGTGACTTTGTTCTAATTAATTTTTGGATATATGTAATCCTCTCATTTCATATATAACTCACTTTTTTTAGAGAAAAGAAAACTGATTTTGATGAAACAATTAATTAAGTTTACTTTATTAGAGGATTAGAGCATGACAATCCCGGATTAATAAATGATGATAACTTCAAATCTAATAATGAAACAAAGAAATCCATTGCTTTTTTTTAGTGGAGTCTCTCACTTATATTAAATAAATATATTAAAAGTAATTACAAAAGAGTGGGGCAGATCTGTGCTGGAGTTTTTATGAATATTAGAATTAAAAGAATTGACATAAAAGAGAATATAAAAGTTGAGGTCTCTCTTTTTGATAGAAATAAAATTATACTTTCTGTGATAAACAAAAAGTTACATTTTTTTTTTTGTAAAGAAAAAAAATTAAATTTTTTTGTGATAAAAATTATACATTTTATAATAAAAATTTATTTATTTCATTTTATATAGTGCATACTATATGCACCCAAGAACAGTGCACACACATAGTAGCCTTTTCCATGGATAAATACCTCCCAAAAAAATAAGAAAAATAAGGAGGGGAGACTATGACAACCCTTACTACTGTTTACTGATAACACCACTGATTACTGCTAAACTGAGACTGATCATGATAAGTAATTGAATTGATTGAAATTCTAAGTTAATTGATTGAGTGTGTTAGTTTAAATGCATGTCTATCTGTTTGACTCTTAAATTATCTGTTCGTGTTTTATGTTTTAAACTGCAAATTGAAGGTCTTATCGGCGGCCGAATCTAAAATTGATTAGTGATTTATGTTAATTAGCATTTATGTGAATTTATGGTAAATTTAGTTGAAATTTGATTTGGTACGATTAAATTGAATTAAATAAGTTAAATTATCAAAGTTGGACTTATTTACAAGAATGCCACATAGTGGACAATTCTAGGACTTGTTAATCACACTTCTTACACTTTTGATACAACACTTCTTCAGCCATTTTGAGAGCTACAACCGACTAGAGAGAGAGAGAGGTAGGAGAAATTGAGTTCATCTA